CACAACAAGTTAACGTGGATGCCGTCGTCGTGATCAACTGATCTCATATATATGCTAGCACCATAAGCAGTTTGAGATGCGTCGCAAAAACCATGCATTTCTACTCGTTTCAGATTTAAAGAAGATAGTTCTGCTTTGAATTCGTTCCAGAACGATTCAAGATTCATAGGGAGGCGCTCATCCCAGTCTAACTTTTCTAACTAAAGTTTGTGCATGATGATTTTTGATGTTATTTTAACAGGGCTGAGGAGGTCAAGTGGATCGAAAATTGTGGAAATGGAAGAGAGAATTGTTCGTTCTGTAGCATTTTTGTTATCTGGTATATTTATTTTGAATACTTACCTATCTGTATGAGGTAGCCAAGCTAAGCCCAAGGTTTTAGAGTTTTCATTGATTCCAAAATCAACTATATTCAAATCATATTGCAGATCACGAACGTATTCCACTACCTTCGGATCGTTAGAATAAAACGTAATTCAAAACAACCAGACTTTAATACAAAAGACACTTCTTCACAAAGACGGGCTTGCTTCTTCGATTTAATTTCTTCCAAGCAATAGATCATCTACATAAACGTTTTTTCTAATACCTGCTGCCTGAGGGTAAGCTGATTCATTTTCAGTGGCTAAATGAAAAAGGCATCGTATTGCCAAGAATGATGAAGCAGCTTCACCATATGTAACCGTGTTCAGTTCATACACCGAGATAGGATTATCGGGACTTCTTCGCCAAAGGATTCTTTGAATGAGATCTTTGTCCCGGATGTAGGTATGAGAACTTGACGATACATCTTTGCAATATCTCCGCATACCACGTAAGCATACTCGCGAAAACTCAAAACGTGAGAAATCAACTCCCCCTGAATCGTGAGGCCTACCATTTGAAGGTCTCAGAGAATATTGAGATGACGTGGAGGCAGATGCGTCGAACACAACGCGAAGTTTCGTCGATACGCTGTCTTCGCGCATAACTCCATTGTGTAGCAGATAAAAGGAATATTTTACTGTTTCATCTTCGTTAACCTTGTTCATGTGACCTAAACTTTCATACTTCGCCATGAAATAACTATGGGTATAAATATTTGAATTTACTGTTTTCATTAAGCTTTCTTCCTAGAGAAATGAAACGCTTTCTAGCTTGTTCACGCGATTCGCCTAGATTTTCCAAAGATTTATTGAATGGAATTTTAACTACAAACGTTTTATTGTTTAGTATACTGGTATTTTGAAGGAAATGCTCTTCGCACAATTTCTCTTCTTAGGATGAAGCTTTGTCAGGAAATATCTCTTCGATTTCCCAAAAACGGGCTAATCTGTTCTGAATGTCAGGGTTGTGAGTGAAATGACAATAAACTCTTTTCGAGAATGATTTACTAATGGGCCCTGTTTTTTGTAAAGTTGGTTCGTTACGCCCCAGAGAAATTTGACCTACACTTATTAAAGAATAGAAGTGATCCGCTTGTATCAACATATCAATTGAACTGTCATGTGGAATATTTGGTCTGAAGTGGTTTGATATTTTTATATCCGGCAATTTTCCTGTGATTTTCGGAAGTAGGTAGGTATACAGTGCTAGTCAAAAGTCCCCTCCCCCCCTCGTATCTTTGGAACGGGTATACTTATAATAATGTAAAATAATTATTAACAAGAAATGAAAATTAAAAATTGAAAGATTCCAAACCAAGTTACTTCACGACGTTTCGATTGTTAATATCCACAATCGTCATCGGGTGATAACTGGATTTATTCCTCCAGAAGCTGACTATTTATAGGTCATTCGAGTGCTTTCACCTATCCCCTCTTCCCCCTCTCCGCTTCATCGGTTTTAGCGGAAGCTGACCGTTTGGCGGGAGTTGTATTATATCCGACAGGTATCAGTGCAGGATTCTTCACTGAAGTTATTCCTGCATATGCTGTTGGCGATACAACTGCCACAATAGATTTTCAATTATTGGAACACACTTGCAGACCGGTTTCAGGCTGTTTAGCCACTCGTCAGTGCAAGGTAGTGTATATCATAGACATACAGTCGATGATTTCCGAATTGTTCGTTTAGATGATTTGATATAAAGCAAATCATCTAAAAGAACAATTCGTTCAGGCTTTTCTCAACTCCCTACACTGTAGGTTAATGGACTGACACCTATCAGAAAACAACTACTCCCCTGGCTAATACCACGAAAGGCGTTGGATTATATCCGACAGGTGTCAATGCACTGACGAGTGGCCAAACAGCCCGAAACCGGTTTGCAAGTGTGTTCCAATAATTGAAAATCTATTGCGGCAGTTGTATCGCCAACAGCATATGCAGAAATAACTTCTGTGAAGAATCCTGCACTGACTCCTGTCGGATATAATACAACGCCCTTCGTAGTATTAGCCGGGCGACTAGTTGTTTTCTGATAGGTGTAAGTCCATTAACTTACAGTGTAGGGAGTTGAGGCTGGCCTGAACGAATCGTTCTTTTAGATGATTTTATTGTGGTATAGTTGCTTTGATGTCTAGTATCTTATCAATTCAGTCTTCTGGACATGAATTGTTTTTCTCCTGTGATCTAATGCCTCACAGATCTGTGTGTCCTTTTGTTGCACTGGTTGCAGCTATGGTCTCCGTTCTGTAACCCTCTGAATCGCTAGTATATAGCCACTGTAATTATTCAGAGTCGATCCCTGATTTGTTCAAGTAGCTTCATTGTTCTCTTTTCATACAGTTCCTTCATAAAGGTTTTCCCGTGTGTGTTCCCTAGTATATTTTCCTAGTACTCTTTATGTTCCTTATAGATCCACCTCCCAATTTGGTTCTGTAATAAAGATTTTTGGTACCCCACATCTTGTTCAGAACCTATATATGGAGTTGATGATCCGTGTCTGACACACATATCAGCTCTCTGGTTACTGCGATGCCTGAGTGTCCTGTCACCCAGGTCAGGAATTATCCAGCAGGTATTCACCGTTCGTGAAGCAGAACGTATTCATTTCCGGCACACTACTGAATATTTCCCAGCAAGAACATTTTTAAACAAAGAATAATCGAAATACTCATGCAATTATTTTGTTCAGAAAGCGAAATGAGTTTCGTAAGCGAAAATAATAACTTCGTTACACTACAGCCAAAGTACAGTTTTCAAGACTCTAGTATTAAATGCAGGAGCATAATTTTCAAAATGGATATTTCCAAATTCATCAAATTTCTAAGAATCTAATTTGATATTGTTCATCACATCACATCAACTGTTTATTTGTTTATAATGTTAAAATTAGACTAAAATTTTCAAATATCGTACCTTCTGACCAAATCATGTAAACTTTTGCCTACCTCTAAACAAATGAATGATAGTTCGAATCATTTCAATTCTTCAATGCTACTGGTTGCTTCATAAAATATCTAAACAATTTTTGTTTTGAAGTGTGAATGTATTCAAGAAACACTTCATCCACTAGTTTTACAAAAACGCAACACATGTTTTGCTATACAATATCTTATTCAGACTTGTCTATACTATTCGAGGACTGTTCAAAAGTTAGGTGTTTTGCTTGTTCGGTGATTTTTTTGCTTAAAAAAAAAAAGAATCAGAGAATTTTTGTCAAATTTTGTGTAAAAAATAAAACTGAGTGCTCAAAAACACTTGAAATTTAACAGTGACATACGGCGATTGTACTCTCAGTCATAAAAATATTTACAAGTGGTAAAAGCTTTCCACAGAAAAAAATCTTTTTAAAATATGTTTTTCCGTTAACCAGTTGTCGCACCTCTACGAACGGCAACCCTCAGAAGTCTAAACTTGTGCGACCTAAGGACTAAGGAGGTCTTACCTTTTAAAGTGTGATTCCTAACACGGGTTGGACGATAGCAAGTGAAAATCGATCGTTCAGCCTGGGCCTTGAACCAGCGACCAACAAGGCGGTCGATTTCAGTGAGTGAACAAAGCACCCACGTCGAACCGCTCGGCTACCGACCGAGGAGATGTAAATGACAACTATTAGAAGAGTTGCTGAGATTGTTATTATATTGGTTGGCTCATGCCATACAATTTTTTCATAAATTTTTGGCACAAAGCGTGTGACAGCGAAGTTCGTTCCAAAACTGCTGAATTTTGATTAAAAAAAACGTCGCCTAAGCTGACGAGTCATGGGTATATGGTTATGACATCGAAATCAAAGTCCAATCGTCCCAATGGAAGAGCCCAGGAGACCCAAGACAAAAAAAACACGTCTTCGATCAAATGCGAAGTTTTGCCCACTGTTTTCTTTGATTACCGTGGTGTAGTGAATCAGGAGTTCTTGCCACTTAGTCCTATATGGTCAATAAGCAGTACCTATTATCTTGAAGTTATGCGCCGCTTGCGAGAAGCAATACGAAGAAAATACCCGGTATTGTGGAAAACCAGTTTATGGCTTTTGCATCACGATATGTGCCTGCTCATTCGTCATTGCTTATTCGTAATTTTTGCCCAAAAACAACACTGTTATCATGTTTCAGCCACCGTATTTGCCAGATTTGGCCCCCTGTGACTACACTGTTATCATGTTTCGGCCACCGTATTCGCCAGAGTTGGCCCCCTGTGACTTTTTCATACCAAAAAGTGCATATCTGAATAGAAATTGATGAGTAAATAAATGTTTTTTTGAGAAAAATGAAAATTCACCTTATTATTTTAACAGACCTCGTATGATATATACTATACATGTGATATCAACTGTGTAGTGATGATCTCACAATAAAGTGTTTCATGAATATGTTATGGATTTTCATCAAGTATCGACCGATTGCATCACATAAGAGTGAAGTTGTTTTTGAATATGTGATCAGCTATTTGTACATTTTAATCGTTTTCACTTCAACCAGCTACTTGCTTAAGAACAATCTTTAGGAAATACTTCAAGTCGCTGATTACCTTTTGGCCATTTATAGTCTCCTGAAAAAGTATTATAATTATCTCTGACCCACAATGTGGCTCTTATAACAGTTTTTTGTAAGTACCAGTCTTCCAAGAAAAAAACATTAAAACATAAAAAATTGTATATTTGTTACAATAAAAATTATTTTACATCAATCATCACAGTAACATTAAACAACTGCACTCATTCAGATCATATTTAAAACTTTTAAGTAATAAAGATGCTAGACTATATAACATGGAAAATATTTCACCTAGTGAGGTTATACAAGTTTAAGAGTTTCAACAAAAAAGAAAAAAATAGAGTTGTCATTGAAGTTGATATATTCAAGTGATATTTTCAAAAGAATTGCACAAAGAAGGAAATTATGAAATTTTAAATATGAGAAGTACCCATTCATCATACTAAAATATGCACAGTATGGCACTTTACAAAAAACTCTCTCGACAGTCGGGTTTTCAAATGGCGTTCTATGTAGTAAAATTCTACAATCTCCTTCGTAATTTTTCCACATCAGTGTGGAGATAATCACAGAAATATTTAAAACCAAGATTTTTTTTCATGAATGTCAACAAAAAGACACTCTATAAGCATTACACAGTGTTTCAACAACACTATAGATTTGTTCAAAATTTGGTCTGTTTTCTGGCTTGTACTCCCAGCACCTTAACATCAATCGATACATCTCGTCTGGTGTATTCTCTGGAGCTGGCATTCTATAACCTGTAAATGATAATGTTTTTTATTTTGATTTTAGAAAGTTGGCAGAATGAGATCTGATCATACATATCACCTCTGTACTGTTAATATTGCTGTGAATAAGGGAATAAATAATGAGTCTATCTACAAATGAATATCCAATGATTCTAATATTAGCACATTTTAACAACATATATCCAGTGAAGACTGTATTGAACACTTTCCACACTAAGTTTTCCATGTTTTAAAAAACATTCATTTATCACTATGACATTTCATTTTCCGTTACTAAAACTAAATTAAAAAATAACACAAAAAATGGTATTCTCTTGAAATCAAGGAAATGCATGTCCAACTTTGTGAAATACAAATGGTAAAAGGCCAAACATAAGACAAGGGATATTGCTGAAAAATGCACTGTTCAAGAATTCTGATATACATGGTGTTGTTTTGATCTGAATCATATTTGATTTCAAGACCAGACCAGACCAGACGAAGGGGTTCGAGAATCATGTGCCCTTAGTGAGCGCAGTGAGCCAAGAATGACAGCCTTCCGCATTTGTCCTTTTTTCGGACGATATTCGTCTCGGCAGCAGCTGAAAAGTCCACGACAAATATCGTCTTGCTCTGGTGGTCGAGATCAGGATTATTTTAAAGTCAAATGAATAATAAATGGCACGAAATATGTTTAAACAATACCCAGTGTATGGGTGACTTCATAGATGCAGGAAATAAAAATAATATAACTGTTTGTTTTTGAGATTATTTTGAGTTGCATGGAAATAAATTGTCAAATTAAACTTAATTATACCTCATATACTGCCATTATACCAACCAGAAAATTTTTCAATCAAATATAAGTGTGACCAATCAAATAATCAACATTATTAGTCACACATTAATAATGTGAATTTTTCAACTCACCACTGTCAATCTTTTCCCTAGCTTTGGAATTGCTCATCCCACTGTAAGGAGTGCCTCCTTTTGAGAAAATTTCCCAACACAGAATTCCATAACTCCATACATCACACAAAGAGGTGTATTTTCCAAAATTGAGTGCCTCCGGAGCAGTCCATTTGATTGGAATTTGTTTCATTCCGTCCGATACTATGTATTCTTCCTCTTCTCTGGACATACCAAAATCAGAGATTTTAACTATGTTGTTGTAGCCTGAGAACACAAAAAATAACCCCAGTTTTTATTATTACACAACTTATAATTTCTACAGAAGTTAATGAAAATTTAAATTTTGGTTTTTAACCCAAGTGATAGATATTAGCTTATGTATAATATTAACAAAAAAGAAGTAGGGGTACGATGTTTTTTTAACCTTTTTTGTATTTTCAACTACCAATGAACCCCACTCTAACAGACGTAAACTCAAACAATCAGCGTATATTCCTATACCTGGGAAAAAGTGTATTTCAAATAGCTCCTCGAAGATATGACTAATGGTCATATTTTTTGTGAGAGTCGGTGTAACTTTTCGAGGTGTAACTTTTTAATTTGACCTTTATTACACTTCAGCTAATTTTCTATTGACTTAGCATTGTTTATTTGTCAGATTGTGGAAGGTTATATTCCCAAAAAAACAATAAGAAATATCTGTATGATTTATATTATTTTTAAAAAAACTGATATACTGAGGAATATCTAATGGACTCCATTTCACATTACACGATATATTCTGATCTTTATAAAATATCCACCAGGTTATCAGGTGTTGTTTGGGATATTACAAACTTAATTTTTCAAATGCAACTTCTTAGTTTGTGTTTCACTAAACTAAGAAAATTTTTTCAGATGTTTTTAACCATTAAATATCTAAAAAAAGATCTGTTTAGTTTGGATACTCAAGGGCGCTCTGGTGGTAGTTTCTTTCACATTATCAACAAAAACATTCATCCATTGAAGATCCCTGAAACCAAATGGATCTTACCCTTTTATTCACCAATCTGTAAAAACTTTTCACGATGAGCATAATTTTCAAAAGGAATATTCATTTAAAAGTATTACAACAACTTTTTGACCTGTGTTAAACCTTCAGAAGCTACTACTACTACTTTGTCCTTTTATGGAGGACATTATAACTGCAAAGCCAATAATATTTTCAGTTTTTAAGTTCTTACCTACGAGACAGTTACGTGCAGCTAAATCTCTATGAATACAGTTTCTGGATTCTAAGTATCTCATTCCAGCCCCAGCATCCAAGCACATCTTCATGAGCTGCCCTTCTGTCAGATTAGATGTCTTTTTTCTCAAAAATGTCAATAGAGAACCTCCTAGAATAATATTATTTCAATATAGTAGAAGTGCACAAAATAGTTTGCAATAAAACCCAATTCAAATGATCTAATACATGAAACTGCAGAAATATTTTACATAATTCCCTGTCAGAAAAAATTAACATAAAATAAAACATTGGATAAATCGATGGATGTAGCCGTTACTACGTGGTAGGAGATCATAATGAAAAGAGAAATGAAAATGTCTATGTTTTTTACCACTTTTGTTTGTAACTAACGTTACTGCAGTTTCTTCCTATATGGACATTCTCAAACTTATACAATAAACTTGTTTATTGTAAGTTTGAGGATGTCCATATAGGACAAAACTGCAGTAACGTTAGTTACAAATAAAAGTGGTAAAAAACATATTTTCATTTCTCTTTTCATTATAAAACATTGGGTTTGATTTAAATATTCTTTGCATCATTACTGTCATTATTCAGTTAATGGAAGTTGTTTCCACATTCTGTAGAAAAAATAAATAATGGTACAGGGTCGTCCATTCAGGGGCGGCTTTACCTATAGTGCAAGGGTACGATGCACTCGGGAGCCAGGTGTTTTAGGGTCGCCAAGAGCCGACCTCTCACATAGAGCCGCCTTACTCTAACACTCCGCACGAAACAGACGTCTGCACATATAAAAATGGAGTGTGTGCGTATGGAGGTTCTAAGAAAATTGCAAAACATACCGTGAGGGGCCTGTTACATGCAGTCGCTTGCTCACAGTGTATACCCATAGAGCCCATTCAGCTTTCGCTGTGCCGCTTGCCGTTGGATAATTTAAAGTATGTGTATACTGGTACTAATAAATCAATTTATGTGTGTTCGAATTTGTTCACAATAGAATTTACCTTACATTGCCACTCACAGTAGCACACAGTGAAAGATCATTTTCAATACTGAAACAATTAAAAACTATCTTATATCAAAACTGTCGCAAAGTCGATCAACAAATTTATCAATAATTATTATTGAACATGAAATAAAAATTTAATTCAGTGAAATTGTCACAGTTTTTGCTAATGCAAAAGCACGAAAATTAATTTTTTTGTATTTATACCTACTTAGTATTACGAGCATCCTATAATGACACATTTTTAAATAGAATATTTTGAAACAACTACAAGGTTTTTATTTGTAACCCCTTCTTCCTTAAAAATACAGTTCACACCAATATATCAAAAAGTGTCAATTTTCCTCGATCAATTTTCAAATTTGCTGACAATGAAAAAAACATTTTTGACAGGCTTGTAAATGGTTTCGTGACAAAACAACGATTTTGAGCTACGGCGGCAACGAATTTCCGCGTAGGAGTTTAGGTCGAGCGTATTGTAAGAACCTATTCCATTTTGACGATATTGATTACAGACGGGCGCTACATGGGTTAATGCCGCACACGCATCAATTGAAAACATTCCTGCAACGTTCATGGCATTTTATGAAAACAATTCTGGGACACATATACTTTTCAAATAAGTCTGATAGCTGTATCGAGAAGAGATACAAACGTATAAGAAAATAAATATTTCGAAATTAAATCTCAAAATATTCATGTTGTATCGAATCTCTCTCCCAACATTTATTTATGCGAATTTATGCGTCGATATGTGATAATGGATGAAATATGGCCTCATCATTTCACACCAGAATCAAAAGCATCGTCATGTGAGTGGACTGCACGTGGTTAATCGACTCCAAAGCGAGCAAAGATGCAAGGTTATGGTATCAGAATTTTAGGATGGCATGATATAATATTCATCATTGGAGTTTGAAGGGCAAAATCGCGAAGAAACGGCCCTATTTGAAGAAAAAGAAAGTGATGCTGAATCAAGACAATACACCGTGTCACAGATCAATGACAACGACGGCAAAATTGCAAGAATTGAGCTTCGAATTGCTTCCGCATTCACCGTATTCTCCAGATCTAGTCCCCAGCGACTTTTTCTGTTCTTATATCTCAAGAGAATGCTCGCTGGAGAGAAATTTAGCGCCGATGAAGAGTTAATCGTCGAAACTGAGGCCTATTTTGAGGCTAAAGATAAATCGTACTTCAAAAATGTTATCGAAAAATTATATGACCACTATAATCCAGGCCAACGAACTCTGTTCAAAAATCGCAGAACTACAACACTTTTTCGACACGCGTTTTACTCACCAAGGTGACGTCGTCAGAGATGAAATAGACTACTCGATTCTTGAAACGCGTGTCGAGAAGAGTGTTGCTATTTTGACAATTCGGTTTTTGGTATTTGTCAGAGGTTCCACTTCTACCTTTCATTGCAAATTTCAGATGTTTGGTTACATTTGAATTTTAAGTTCGGTATCTCCGTTCGAATTCAATACACTAGTTATCAAACGCATGAGTTTGTTCAACGTTCTCATTAAATCTCTAGTTACCTGGTACTAACTCCATGACAATCATAATCGGCTGTTTCTGTACACAAATCCCTATCAGTTTCACAATGTTGGGATGATCGTATTGTTTGAGGATCCTGCCCTCCTGAAGAAACTTTTTCTTGTGGTCCTCTGGCAGAGTTACCCTACACGTTTTCACAGCTACTATTTCGTTGTTGTTTTTTAACTGTGCTTTGTACACATCGCCAAAGTTACCCTGAAATAGATGGACTAGTTCATTATACCGTTTTTAAAGAATAATCACCTCAATGTTGATTTTATGAATCTCACCCTTCCGATTTTATCTAATAATATGACGTCATCATTATTGAGTTCCCATATCTCACGAGGAATTGGCTTGTGTAAAATGGCACCTGATCTACCAGTTACTGGTAAACCACTATTGACTTGGTAGAGAATCAGCTCCCTTATGCTAGGAAATGCTGGTCCTTCAAATCGAAAATGACCCTGAAAGATAATGTAGCATAAAAACACAGTGATTATAATTTTGACAATTTTGTATTTCTAGACCAGTCAATCTTAACATAATTTATAGAAAATGTGATGATTAGGTATAACAAAAACTTCAACACTAATATATAATAACGTATTCAAGAAATACACTTCAATGTGAGATTTTCACTTAAACAAAACCACGACACGTGTTTCGCTATACAATAGCATCTTCGGGCGTCACACAAAGATGCTACTTTATAGCAAAATATCTTAGGGCGTCACAATACTATATTCGATGTGATGTGCGAATATTCTATTGTATAGCGGACCACGTGTCGCGCCTGAAGATGCTATTATATAGCGAAACACGTGTCGCGGTTTTGTAAACTTTCAAGTGAAAATCTTACATCAAAGTGTGTTTTCGAATACTTCATAATCAAATAACGGTCAGGGTATTGAAAATCGAGAATAATTTTATCATCATTTCTATTATGTAATGTTTCATAAACTTCCCAAATAAAATTCCAGAAGTTTAGTAATCTTTCTAGAAATAGCAACTCCTTTCGTCAAAGGAAAAATTTGTTTTAAATTTATACTTGATTTTTTCTCAACACACACTATGATTGCAAATGTAGATGTTCTTATGTACAATGTTCATAATCATTTTCAGCCTTGGAAACATAATAACTATTTTATAATACGCAATCCCGGTAATTATTTAAAAAACTAATTGAATTCTGATTTTGAAAATTAATAATTTTTTTAAATGAATACTGTAGGGAACGTCATTATTCTATATGCCACGTTTGGTACTTCAGGTTCCATTGTTCTTTTTAATTTTCACTTAATAGTTTATATAACCGTGAAACGTGTTACACTACATAATAGATTTTTCAGTTGTGTTCAATGCTCCTATTGAACAAATCTGAAGAAGTAATTGTATACTGAAACGCGTGTCGTGGTTTTATAAACTGTTAGTTGTGAATTATCCAAAATAATATTTCATCATCTCAAAAATTTGAAAATTATAGAGCAGAAACCTTCATAATGACTTTTTTTCACTTTTTTCGCATACCGGTTTATACTATTTTTTCATTTCGAAAATTATCAATTCATATAATTATTATCATTTATGTATTTATTCTCAATGAACTAATGGTTTATACAGGGAATTATTAATACAAGAACTATTTATACATAAATATATCATTTCAGAGGGAGCTTTTTCAGAATTGGTCTAATTAATAACAAAAAACCGAAAAATATAATGATTATGATGATGTAAACTGATGAAAAAAATAGTTCTTTAATGCTATTTTGAATTATTCTGTATTGGAAAATTGTCATTTGGTTAATTCATTAAGTATATGCAATTATTCCTTTGTAAAATATAGATTTTCCCGAAAATGCAGATTATTGAGCTGTCTTGTTTGAGAATCATGTAAATTTCTATGTTCTAGAAATTTCATAGCAGAATATTTTCAATTTTTTATGTATGCATTTATAAATTGAAAGTATGCACCGAAAGGTGCATACTTTCAATATATAAATAGAATCGATATCAAGTAAATGCTTTGGTTTATATAGATCGTTAGTTGGTTCTAAAAAAGGTAGATGAAAAATGCATTCAGTGACTTCATTCTGTAAACTTCTTAACTAAACCTAACCAATTAAATAATGTAATTTTGAATGAATGAGAGAAGTGAATTAGCTTCAGATACTTCAACGAAATATAGTATCTAATTTTTTATAGAATCCCAATGACTGGAGCTAGCTTCTTTCGAATAACATCCAATGACAAAAGAGCTTCATCTTTATATAAACCTAAAAACTGAACACTAGTGAATCTTTCAATTTTGTTGTGTCCTAAGACTAACTTGCAAGGTGTCGTACAGGGCTTTTTATCAATAAACATAAATGACGATTTCTCAAAATTCAAAGGTAATATGTGTATATTAAGCCAAATATCTATTTGTTTTAAATCGGCTTCTATTTTTTTGTGTATCAATTGTGAATCTTCATTGCAATAGATCAAATTTGTGTCATCAGCAAATTAATACAAATTTTCCAGAGTTTCAATTTTGAAATGGAATTTATATAAATGAGAAAGATAAAGGTCCTAATATAGACCCCTGCGGTACTCCACAAACACTTTTTTTAATGAACTATTCCCATTTCACAAAAACACACATTGCTTTCCACCACTTGAATAATTTCGAAACCTTAAAAATGCATTTACCTATCCAATTTGTTCATCAAAATTTCATGATCATTGATATCAATAGCTTTACAGATGCCTTATAAAAGAAATCCACATTTTCTACGAACATCTAATTCTAACTGAATATTAGAGATCATATCCAAAGCGGCACATTTCTGTATCATTAGACCTTCGAAAGCCATGGTAATTTGAATACAAGAAATAATCTAGTATACATTGCGCTCTCGATCCCATAGATGTCGTCTTCAAAAGATGAGTTGCCTTTCTTACTCAGGCTTGTCCTTTAAGGACAGTTGAGTTCAGAAACGCATTCGTGGTTCAGTCTAGCACTCCTGTAAATACCTATAGCGGGTCGAAAAGGCGCTGTCTGTTGTTAGATCGCGAATGCTATATTTATGGTCTCTGGTTTTAACCAGTTAAATCATGTATTTTGTTAATACTGATTTTACATACACTTGCACACGACTTTTTTACTTCACAAAACGTTGAATTTTTGTAGACATTTTTTATAGAATTCGAAATTAAACCTAATAGCGGGTTTATGCAACAATACTTAAGAACTAAAGCCAATAACTAGTAACTAAGACAATGCCCAAGAAAAGTGTCCAGTTTATGCACGTGTTAACAAAACCACAATTATTCCTCATTTGATAGTTATACTACTGAAAATAATTCCATTAAATAAAAAAGCATGTTCAACACTGTTTCATTATTATAGTAGACAAAAATTTGAAATAAACGTTTTGGAATTTCTCTGGTCAATGACAGCTGTAAATATTTCAATTTGGCACATGCTCATTTTCGCTTTATTAGGTTGTTTCAAAAGTTTTGTCGGTTTTTATGAATCTTCTTCAAACTTCAATTTCTCAGTGAATACTTTCTCAATTTAATCGAATTAAGCGCCATTTGAATCAGTGCACTTTTGCTAACGTAACACAAGTCGAATTATTCCGTCAGTATAACAATTGTGTGCTCGGGATTCGATGAAATCAACGAAGGACGTTTTTGTCGGTCCTGATTGGCAAAGTTTCAACCGGTGAGAAAGTTATCGAAATGCTTGAAAAGACGGTAGTCAGTTGGCGAGAGGTCGGGGAAGTATGGTGGGTGAGGCAGAACTTCGACACTCAATTCATTTGATTTTCGGACGGTGATTTGGCGGACGGGTGTTGTCGTGAAATAGGATCAGATTTCTTCTGATGACCAGTGTCCGACTGCTGCTGACGTAATTTTCGGTACATTTCGTCGATTTCCTCACAATAGGACTCTGCTGTGATGGTTTGGCCCGGTTGCAGTGAATCACACCAACTGCTGGCCACCATACAGTAACTATCATCTTTTTTGGTGAGTTTTTGCCTTTGGGAAGTGCCTCGGTGGCTTATCGGTGTTCAGCCACTGTCCTGAACGTCTCCTGTTTTCGTAGAGGATGCACTTTTTATCAGACGTGACGATCCGATCCAAGAAAGGGTAGTTTTGGTTGCCCATAAGTAAAGAAGAACGGACCTCGAAACGTGACAATTTCTGTCACGTCTATTCGTGGGGACCCACTTTTCGAGCTATTTGACTTTTCCTATATGTTTTAAAGCATCAAAAACCGCACGGGAGCTCTCGTATAGTTCTTACAGCATCTCACGCACCATTTGTGATGGATCAGTCTCCACCAGAGTCCTCAAATCCTCGTCCTTGATTACTTTAGGTCGAGCACTTCGGGGCTCATCTTCGAGGCTGAAGTCTCCTGAACAAAATTTCGTAAACCAACATTGAACAGTGCATTCATTAACACTATTATATAATTGCCAAACGTCTGGTTAATTGTTCGGGCTGTTTCGGCAGCGCTTTGGTTCAATTTGAATCCATAGAGAAAAATTGCCGAAAATGGCTTAACGACATCATATAATAATAAGCTGAAAATATATAATAGATCGAAATTTGGAAAAATGAACAGTATGAATGTATAAAGTATAAATTTTTATGTTGATCAGTATATATCAGTATATGGAGCTATAAAAACAATTACATTAAAACGAACAAAACTTTTGAAATAACCTAATTGAATGTTGGCCAACATTCTGAAGGGTAGTTCATAGTTTTGGTCAAGTTTCAATAAACACTCTTGTTGATTTGTTAAGCTTAAACTCTTAGTTCCTAGTCTTAGAAATTGTGTTGCATAAAACCGCTATTAATCAAGTATTTCAAATTTGTGTATATATGTTTCAAACAATATCAGAATTTGAAACGGCTCATGACATTACCAATATGAACACTAGGCATACCATTATGTTTCCTTTTTGAAGTTATGACTACAATGGGAATTAAGAGTTTATAATACTTATATTATCTCAACATATTAACGCACAAGCCAAGTAGATTCAACATGTGTTTAAGAAAATTTTTCACTAAACACTGTTTTTACATGATGAATGAATTTTATTGAATCTACAATTAATTCATTTATGTATTTGTTTTTTGAGTTAGAGTTTTTTTTATAAAAATCACATCATCGTCACCTAACCTCAATTAGCTCAAATCCGTTTAGGTCGGAACAAACAGCAGTTTGATTCAAGAAGTATATTATTCACATTTTTAAAGTGACTATACCCATTTAGCGACTACAACTAGAAATGAAATACTAGGTATGTACCGTATGGGTTAACCTTACATGTTTGAATATACATAATTTTCCTTGGATATATCAGGAAAAAACGAAGAACTGTAACTCTCATTAGAATTTAAATTAAATCCATCATGTAGTTTTTTATTTTTAATTTAAATAATGTCATTGCAGATTTCTGCAAATAGTTTGTTTTCATTCATTCGATTGGAGTTTCAAGACTTTTGGAATATGTTTTAACTAACTCATGTAGAAAATTATATTCACCTCGGTTGTAGTTTGTACTATGAAATGTTTATGCCCTCCCCAACATACAGACAAAACCGTTTGACATTCATCATTTCTTGTGGTTTCCCGAACTAAGAAGTCTCCGTCCGAGGTAAGCAGTCTGACTACTTCTTCTCTTGGTAGAACTCCGTGGAACCATTCTTCTTCCACCAAGGATTTATTTGTAGTGAGTGATACCTAGGAGAAAAAATATTGAAGGAATTTAAAATTGTTTGACTTTCCATGGACTATGCAAGCCAGCGTTCATGCAGAAATAAGAATTCAAACAAACCTTATTGTTGGAGAATTTTGGAAAATCCAATTTTTTGTGGAAAAATTTTTGATGCTGTGAGAAAACTTTGTGAAATTTTAATATTATTTGGAAATTTGAAAAAATTTCATGAGTAAATATTTGTTGAAATTCTTGAAATGAAAATATACTAACGCCTGCTTGAAATCTCCAGAAAAATATTTATGGTCTTTTGAATTTTCGAAAAATTATAATTTTTGGATAAACAGCCCGAAAAGCATTTTTTTTAAGGAATCTAATACTTACTCGCCAAGAAAAAATTTCTGAATTTTCCTATGAACATTAAAAATTTGCGAAAGCTTTTACAATTCAGTGAATAAAATTGGTTCTATAGACTTTTCTATTTTTATACAAAATAATGTGGGAATCTCCAAAAAAAAAAAGGAAGAAAGATGGAGAAGTAGACAGCCAAAACCTTTCTTTCCCAAACATTTTTGAAATTTTCATTTATTTTGAAAATTTGCAAGTAGGAGTGAACACCCATGCTTTCTATAGGGTTTATGTATAAATATGGAAGAACTGTTCAAAATCCTACTTTTATGGAACGTAAATGTTTGTTACTGATGTTTTCTGACAAATAAAAATAGTGAAGAAAAAAAAATGATGAGTACTGAAATGAATTGATTTGTTTAACAGGAGCCATGTATTAACAGAATTTATACCTAACTGTCAAATTTACTGTCAAATAGGAAAATAATGGAGCGATTCATGTGAATTTGTGAGAGGAAAACCACGAATTTTTCTAATGACGAGAAAGTTGACTTGCTTTTCGTATACCCGAGGTGTTTGTGAAATGCTACTGGATCTCTAACTTTGTATGGGAAATCGTAACCTGAGAGACGTCAGCCATCCAAAAAATATTTTCAATGCATTGAGAGGACTTTACGTAAAAATTTCGAGTAAGAGTTGTACAGTAACTATATAAGAGGTGGCGACCTAAACATTCCTTCCTACATAGAGATACAAACTTCTAAGAGAGATTTGGAGTTATTGCTTGGCTTAGTGTGCTAGACACCCAGATTATAGGTCCCTACTTTTTTGAAACATCTTTGACCGGGGAATTTATATTTGGAATTGTAGGAGACTCTAGTTGAGTTGTTGGAAGATTTGCCTTAGAATATTCTGAAAAAATATCAATATTTCCTACATGATGGAGCTCCGCCACATTACAGAACTATTTGCAGACATTTTATCAACACGACTATGTCAGGATGAAAGATAGGAAACAATGGTCCTATATTAAATGGCCATCACGTTTACCTGACCAGATCCCTCTAGACTTTTCATCGTGGGGCTTCATTGAAGATATAGCATTCTGCTCAACTTTTGGCAATATTGGAGAATTGAACGAAACAATAAGGCTTTCAAAAAAATACTACCGAATATGTGTTTAAGAAACGTTGGACGGCAAATTGAACATTTATGAGGTATAGACGTAGATGTTAGGAGTATTTTGACATTGATTTCTTTTTGTTTGTTACTTGGTATATTACATGCTCTTTCGACACGTGTTTCGATCACACGTGATCACTTGGTGATCGAAACACGTGTCGAAGTGTAAAAATAACGGTTTGCTGTTGGAAAAAAACTCCAATAATATTTATTACTGCACCAAAGGTTCCAAACAGTGTATCATAAGTCCAAAAATTATTAATTACTACTTTTTTGGGGTAGTTCTGACCGAGAATTGAAAGACCAAACAGTAAGAAAAACGTCGAGAAACACATGTATTGTAATACATAGCTAAATTTGTTAATACAGTGGCTATAAAAATTGATTGAAAAAACTAGAGGCCTGTATTTAAAAAATAAAGTTGATAATGAAATCTAATGAACGAAACGTCACATTGCAAATTGATTTATATCAGACTATAAAAAATATGAAACAGTATTAAAAGTTCCCCATGTCTTTCGAAATGGAGGCTGTAGAGCCAAAAAACAAAATTTGACAATGCTAGTTTTGAGCGAATATTTCGAAAACAACCACAAATATTCTTGATTTTCACAAAATTCCCTATATAATTTTTATATTAGTGCAGATTTTTTCTACATGTAGGTACTTAAAAAAAGAGAGAACCGACTTCTTCATCAAATCGATATATTTATATGTAGTTACAGTGGAATGCTCATGATTTGAATTTTCAGTATGTTCGTGAAGATGGAATTATTAACGAACAAAATCATGATAAAACCATTCATTAGTTCAAAAATAGTTTACAAATAGGTTTTTTTTCAAATGTTCAACACTAATTGTGCTCAATACAACTGGGTTGACACCTTGTGAAACCATTATCTACTATATTTGAACCTTGCAAAAAAAGCATTCAAAACATTCTTTGTTGAAGCCCATGTCTAAGGGTATACGAAAGCTACTGCGATTTCGACAATAAAAAAGCAACACCATGCAATTCATGTTCAAAAACCTACGGGATCTCCCCCTTCGCTATGAGAGGCGGACTCCCTCCTGCCTTTAGTACGAGGGGGAGCTACGGGCGAAGACGGAGCAGATTTCCGTCTGAATGGCTTGCGTAACATACTGACTATCCTTTGAGGTTCGAATATACTATGCTTAACTACCGTGCTCTGACAACCATCACCCTAGAAGTGTTAAATACAAAGTATGGATATCATTAGTTATTATTAGAGTGAGCTCGAAAAAGTCTCCTTTCCAACATTTTTGTTAATATGAGGATGAAAATAATGTCTATTTTCCATAAATGATACTCTCAAAGGAAAGTAATTGGTTTGGGTAATATTTTTTTCAATTAACTAAAATTTAAATTTCAACATAGGTATTGAAATCTAGTTCCTCAAACTATTACACGTGTCCTGAACAACAAGTCCTTAGGGAAAAATTCAGCAATTCCCAGTATTTCATCGTGACATAACATTCTGCTCTGATATTCATGATGAAAATTTAAGATTCAGAGGTACACTATATAACGCCACCAAAATTTAGATCTGAATTTTTCAAACGTTGCTTTTCACATCAAATGTGCACCTTTATCTATCGAACTTGAATGTCTATCGTTCACAAAATTCTAATTAAAATTCAAGAAACATCTTTTTTGGTCAATCTTAAAGTTTTTTTTCCTTGTTCTTTTTCCTATATAAATTCGAAATATTCATTTATGAAAGAACGTGTATATAATAATGCAAATACTTCGATAAGGTTGGGCAGCATTTTTGGGGTTGAGTGGAAAAACATTTCAGTGGCGGTCTTGTTTTCAAGTGAAATGAACTCCGCCCTTTTCTTCTGTTTATTAGCTCATGGTCACTAACATGATGTGTACAATTTATGTGAGAAATGAAGGCGAAACTTTGTTTAACGAAGTTTGGGCTGGTCAGGCCCTATCTCACGAAGCCAGGACACATTCGGGATGGCACGCCAGCATTATCAACCAACGACCACTTCCCAAACCGTGAGGTAAGTGATCATTAGGTCCGAGAATCATGTGCCCTGGGTAAACGCAGTAAGCCAAGAAAGACAGCCTTCTGCATTTGTCCGGCTGATGTTTCTGCCTCAGTGCAGCAAGCTGGTATGATTATGAGATTCGAGAAAAGAAAGTGAATTTTTCCACCAAGAACAACCATCTTGACAGAAAGGTCTGGATAGAGTCTGCGGAATTCGATATTTTAATAGTTTTTCCTCCTCTTTTCGAACGATATTCGTCTCGCTAGGATACGACAAATATCGTCTTGCTGTGGTCGATTAGGACAACATCAGGTTGATTAGCTTGTATGAGCCTGAGCACTTCTCGTTCCCCACAATGGATTCAATATCCGCAGGATCAGTGTCTCGTCAATACCGTAAGAGTGCCGTAAAGCAATTACACACTCTTAGGTTTGCGGGTCAATGGATATAGACCGAGACCGCATATGCTGGAAATGCTGACAGCAAGTAAATTAGAGTATCAGACGCCTCGCGACAGGTCCTGCACCATGTATCAGGAACCTGCTATAGACTAAAGTGTTGAAGATACCATCCTGGCAGGATATAACGAACCCCTCAGATTCCGACTTTAGCACACTCGACCTGAAAAAAGCGAACGTCAGACGCTTTCATAAGTCAAGGTCTTTAATGTTGTTGAAGAAGACCCCATGCATTGGCTTATCTTTGTGCTGCAGCACAAGTGAAATGATCTCTACGGCTTTTGTATGGGCATTTTGCTGAACATGTTCCAACTCGGTGATAAAGGTGTGATTACCCCGTTCAGTATCGAAAACTAAACCGAATTCACCAGCTGCTCGGGAAGCTGTCCTGAAGGGTAATGCTCCAATTCCTGCTCTCTCATGGTTGCGGACCATATGGAGACGGGGATCCGAACTCCTGACGACTTTACAGGCTCCATGCAGTACCATTTTTTCATGTAGACAGTCAAAAGTCTCCCTGTTGTCGGGGAAAGTACAACTGTGAAATGGACGATTTGGGATGCAAACTCCTATGGAGGTGCATCGGTGCATCATTTTTCGGGTCTTAAAGTCGACTTGCTACAGATCCTTCCGAGTCCACTTCACTATTGCAAACGAGTAGAGTAAGATTGGAACGGCAAGCATATTTGTTGCAGCAACTTTGTTCTTTCCCGACAGTTCCGATGTTCCAATAATAGACCAGGAAGAGAACGTGTATGGTACCAAATGGATGGTGCTCCACCCCATAATTCTCATTCAGTTAGCGAAGCTTTAACCGAAATCTTCGAAGACAGATGAATTGGTAATAATGGACCTTTTCATTGGCCTCCTAGAACACCAGATGGGAATCCATTAGATTATTTCGTGTGGGGTTTCATTAAAAATATGGTTTACTCTACTCCAATAACAACAATGGAAGATATGAAATCGAGAGTTACAACTGCTTTCAATAGTTTGACTCCAGACTTGATCAGAAGCGCTACACATGAAAATCTTTTGAAGAGATTACATGTTTGTTTAAGTAGAGGTGGAGATGTGTTTGAACATATTCTGAAATACACTGACGATTAAATTAACTCATTAATTTATGGGTTTATTATTTTCAGTTCGTGTTTCAGCGTTAATAAAACTATTGTTTGAAGAGAAGTTTCATTCGATGGTTGAGGAGTATTTTAATAATTATCTTTTCATTGTATTATCTGTGACTAATTGAGAAACATCAAATGAAATCTGTTTTACAAAAATGAGTGATGAACAAGGAAACCCTGTCAATTTCCGTTTGAAACAGTTTATCTCGAAAACGGTTCAAAATAGAAATAGTATTAATTCAACAAAGTTAATCTAAAATTGGATGTAGAGCTCAAAAATGTTTAAATATACAGGGTGTTCATTAGAAAAAATTGAGTTCCACTCATTTTTTCATGAGATCAAAGTATCTGCATTTTTTGAAGACCCTGTATGAGGCAAATGAAAATATGACTCGGATTGAAGATCCTCATAGTATCACTCCACTCCATTTCAAATTTGATCGTTTTAGTGCAAGAGAGTTCAAGATTATCAGCATATCGAAATTAATTTATATCTTCTAAACGGTAATAGATAGGTATAGGGAAATAGTATATGAATTTGTTGACAAAGTGATAATGAATCATAATATGATATTATATACGGGGTGTTCCACTTGAAAAAATCAAAGAAGCCGCTACTTTATAGTAGAAGCGACAACGCCGCTTCGTCTAAAATATTTTAGGCCTGTAGGTCATATTGACTTATGCATACTGTGGAATTTTCAGGTTGATCCGTTGAATAGTTTGCTAGAAACGGCTAATTAACGCTCATTATGAAAAGCCCTGTATATAGGATGTACCAATAACTGAAGATTTTACCAAAAATCGGAAATTCTTCTAGTAGTCACAAGGTATTCAGTATTTGTTTCCTTAAACCATAAGATATGCTAATAACAGGTTGTGGTCAGATAAATCGCTTATATCACTCGCCCTTAGAAGATAGTCAGCCGTTTCATTACCTGCCAGGCCACTGTGGCCAGAAATCCAGATGAAAAACAAATTTGTAGATCTTATTATTGAAGAGCGTCTGCCAGTACACTATCAACTTGAGTGTTATTGCTCAGTAAGAGCCAAGTTCTTCAGGGGTCCCTTGGCTACCTGACAATATTTTTGCTGATTTACATCTCAAACTGTCCACACATGAATCAGTTATATAAATTTCCGTTTGAAATACGGTCGCAATGATTCCTAGGTAGGTTGATATGTCAGTCCTAGTTCTGTGACTATACACCTGCACTAGAACCCGTAGGTGTTTTAGATATATCTGTGAACCAACAGCTATCTGCCCTTAGTATTTCCTCCTTTTGAAGGATATCGTCCTGTTGAAAAGATATTAGGACTGTATATAAAGTCGTAGTTGAATGTTGGAGAAATTAAGTCGGAGGTATTTACACATTCTGCAATAGCCTGTTTTGTGCAGACGCTCCAAAGAATCGTCATGAATGAGTGATGAATCTGTTCAATTTTGTATGAAGTTGAAAACTTTCAGATCTGCCAATTTTTGCGAGCTGAAGAGTAAAATTTTGTCATTAGTCTAGGACCCTTCTTATAACACGTCTAACCTCTAGGGTGTTTTCTGTGGATGAGCCATAAGTTCAAATATTCGATTTTATAGCTTTCAAAATTGCTATGCAAGGTGCAGATTTTTATAAAGCTTTAGCAGATATTTCTGCTTCATTAAAACATGAATTTATTTCAAGACCTTGAGATTGATTGAACTTTTTTAACTCTGCGAGTCCCATGTCAGCCAATTCCTTCGTTTGAAATTCATCAGTATAGAATACCAAAGTGGTCGCGTAGTATGTATAATTAATAAATGCATTTTGATTGGCTAACTTTATTGCACTAAAAAATAAATTTCAATTTTATTTTTAATCCATGATTATACGAAAATTTAAAGAACTATTAGTGACCCATATATACGTTTGACACACTTTCAATTATCATTTTATGGAAAAGAACATATTTCTGTTTCGAGCTTTCTCTATATTTGAGTACTTGTTAGAAACATTAAACAAATATACCTAGTGAAGAACTCATTACACTTATATGATACACTGTGTTGTTTCTGAAGATATGGAAGTAGTAATAAACTGATATATTAATTATTTTTTCAACTCTGTTTTTATTACTTGAAACAAGGTTTTTAGCAAGAGAAAAAATTTTGTCCCAAATACAATTCATTTTATGTGGAAGTCGTGTTAGACAATTCAAGTATGGTTATTAACGTTACAAGGTCGATATGTATAACGGATGAGATTGAATATTGTAATCCAAGACGCAGCTGAGTATTAAAACAACCGAATCCGTTATTTGCGTATCAGCTATGTGTAGTTCAAGACATTTCGTAATTCCGCCGAAAGATTACATTTTGATTTCGAGGAAAGAAGAAACCACGTACCTCGTAACTCTACAGAAAAAGCCTAACATCGTGTTGTCACGGAACAGCTTAACAATATCACAACAATATTATAAACAACATCAGTTTTTTGTTCGCGAGTTCGCTTTAACAGCGACAATGGATGAAATTGAAGAAATTGAGGAACAAAATCAAATTTCTTTAGAAATATTGGGAGAATCATGTGCAGCGAGTGTTGATTTACTGCCGAAAATAACTCGAGCGCGATATCAAAAAGAATACTTATGAAAATTTTGAAGAGTGGGGTAGAAGCAAGAATGTAAAGTTGGTTAATGAAGATGTATCATTAGCCTATAATATGAAAGGAAAATCAGAGGTTTATTCTAACTCGCTGTGGACCAAGATTTCAATGTTGAAACTTGCTTTGAAAGTTTATGACAACATTGACATTTCAAGGTTAGTTTTTTACATCATAGGTACATCATATTCGAGTTTCACCCACAGAAATCGTATTTTCAGATTTGGAAAATTATGTTTGTTCTTATTGAGACGAAAGTCTGATACATACACACCAAAGAAAGCAAACATTTTTTCTGAAGTAGAAGTAGATAAGTTTCTGTTGGAGGCAGATGATCTTACATGGTTGCTTGAAAAGGTTGTATTAATGTGTAGTATTTTTGGCGCCTGTAGACGTGACGAACCTGTTAAGCTGACTGTGGATGATTTTGAAAGCACCAGTAGGTACCAGAGTTTTGGTTACATTGAGATATACTATAAGCAAAAAGAACAGGGTATTCGTCATTCCCAAAAAAGGACTTCATTTTGATGCATATGGTTTATACAAAAAATGCGTAGATTTTCGGCCTTAAAATTTGGAAAATCGGCGATTCTTCATTGGTTATAGAAATGGTAAATGTGTAAAACAAGTTGTGGGCATTCATACTACTGGAGCTGTTCCAAAGAAAATTGCAGCATTCTTAAAGTTGGGAAATCCTTAGCTCTACATAGATCTTCGGCTATTATGCTTGTAGAAAATGGTGGCGATTTACTATCGGTAAAAGAACTTGGAGGTTGGAACTCCTCTGCGTTGCCGTATTGTATACTGAAAATTCAGTTTCAAAGAAAATGAAGATAATGAGACAACTATTTCATGGTAATGAGGTCACACCGACAACAAGTTCAAATACTGGTGCTGTAGATGGTAAATCTCTCATCGATGGAATAGAAATTTCAAATAATAGCAATTGTCAATTTACTTTCCAAATTTATAAATAGTTAGTATTATTGTGATTATTATTATTGTAAGCGGAAAGAAGTTTTGAAAAAAATGTTTGAAGAAGTGATTTCTTAACGGCCGCCGGCCGTTAAAAAATCTTAACCGACGAAGGATGTTAGCTAACTTTTCAATTGTCATCTGAATACCGCTAAATCAAAATAACAGTATAGGATTACGAAAATATTATATTGTGTTGAAAAGTATTTTGTTATCATTCATAAAAAAATTGGAGGTGTCAGAAAAGAAAATAAAATAAAATTGACAGAAGCTTCACTTTTCCTCTATCTTCTGAAATAACCAAGTGTATCCATCATGTTTAGTTTTTTGAATGATTTAGTACAATTTTCCTCAAAACAAGGTTAGAGTGAATTCCCATACCTGTTCAGAAGATACACTGATAAAAGTTTGGTTATCAATGGATAGATCACAAGCTGTGGGTGCCTCCTCGCAACCCAATTCATTCAAGGCACCTTTTATCAGTTCTGTTTGCTTCAGCATCTTCCTCTCTTGGCACTTCAGTTCGTTTATTTCTTTCTTAGAGGTGTCTACGCTGATGGTCGAGAGCCTGAAACACAAGTAATAAGGGAAAATATTGAGTAGTAATATTCCTTGGTGTCTGATAATGGTAAATATGCATGTCATTTGCAAAAGTATGAAATTATTTTCAGTTTTTAATGAGCATACCAAGGTATAGAGTATAATTAAAATATTCAACTGTATTGTATCATAGGAATTTTTATATCAAAGATAAGATGGCCTTCAAGTGGCCATTTTTCAATATCTTGGTAATAGACTATGAATAATTTTTAATTCAGTCCACCCTCTCTTTTGGAAGTTCAATATTTTGAACTGATGAAAATTCACATGAAGGCTCTAAGGAACTCCAAAAACTTTTTAGTTTTGAATGATTTTACCCTATTCTCCCAATACAAACAGAATAGAGAAACGTGGTTTTTGTATGATCCATTGTTCATATAAAAGTACGTTTTTTTTGTGTATTTAAATGTTTATTTGAAAGTAGTTGTTTTGAAAGTGATCTATATATCTTTATATATAGTTAATTTTTAGAAAATATTGCTTCCTTCTTTTCTTTGGAAGATTTCCACATTTTTTGTATAAAGATGGAGAAGTAGGAAGACAAAACTCTTCTTTCTCAAAAAATTAATCCCTTCTAAAAGTTTACCCCTGTCAATTTATAGAAATATTTTAAAATTGATACAAAATGAAGTGTTAAGAATCACACGTTGAAAGGCAAGACCTCGTTAGTCCTCAGCTCGCACAAGTTTCGACTCCTAAGTGTTGTCGTTCGTAGGGGTGCGACAGCTGGTTAACGGAAAAACAGATTTTAAAAAGATTTTTAAACAAATATACAATTGTATATACAAGTTTCTATTTTAATTGGGTTTGGTGGTCAATATCGAATGGTTATAAGTAAGTACTATTCATTGATCATTTGAGTTTTCGGAAAGTTTTATTTTCTCTTCCAAGAATATCTGAAATTAAAAATTGGAAGCAAACAATAAATTGAATAACATATGGAAATAACTCATCAAAATAAGGTTTGAACATGAGTTGACATACAATAACAAACATAAAGAACGATGACAGATGAAAAATTTTGACAAATGTTGAATAATCTGTCATATCATCTGAGAAAATGGATCTGAATATAATTTTGGTCTATACAGAGTTATCATGAATATAGTTTCCAGTATAAAATGTATAACTAACTATTAAATTACCTCAATTTAATTAAGAACTGATAATTGATTTTTTTTATTCATACATTTTTACTGGGAATTATATTCATGATAACTCTGTATAGTTCCTTGATTTATCCAGATGCATATTAGAATTAAAATCAATTTTTAGGGAATATAAATATAACATTATGAAAAGTTTTACCTATTATTTATTTCATTATTTGGTGAATTTTTTCCGTTCGCTAGTCCCTCGTGGCTGATCGTGATTGCTGAACGTTTTTCTTGATTTTCCTTTATACTGGCTTCTAGATCATTCAGCTTATTTCTCAGCCACTCAACTGTCAGATTGTCTACGGTCAACTGGTTGGGCAAGAGCTTGCCGGCTGAATCTTCTACTAAACTTTCATCGAAAATGAATTTTATTGGTTCGGTTGGAGTTGTTCTGAAATGAAAAACATTTTTCCAGTAATAAAAATATGATAGAATTGAAAATCCATTATTATGTGTATTCGAAAAACACACTTCGATGTGAGATTTCCACTTGACAGTTTATAATACCGCGACACGTACAGCACTTTTTCGCTATACGATAGCATCATCAGGTGTCAGAATGGACAGATGTGGCTATCTAGTTATTTGCACTGTCAAAGCCATCACTTCAAATAGAGATAATTGATTTGCAAGAAGATGTGTTTTTGCAAATGTATCAAACGGTATCCACTGAAAGATTTTGGACCAAACACTCTGTTTGGGTCGACATACGTATGTGAAAAACATCTTCCTGAAAGATGAATTTTTTGAAAAACAAAAATCGTTAGAGATTAACGGACGCCACCTAGAAGACACATTTCGAATTTGCCGTTCCTCTCTAGAACCAAACTATAAAAAACTGACTCAAGACCGTTTAAGTAGTTTCTCACATTAATTTTAGGCCTCGTTTTATAATTCAGAATTTGATTTGAAACTAAAGTAATACATAGGTAGCACTTAATTTTCATCAGTTGTTTTTTTCTGGACCTCATTAAAATTTTTACACAGTATCCGGACCCCACCTAAAACTACTTGCCTACCCCTGGTTAATAGTTTCGGGCTAGACTACTGAAGATTTGCAAATATGGTGACAGTTCCAATAAATTTTTAACATTTGATTGGTTTTCGATGCAAAACTTCAACAATTTAAATAAATTCTAATGCATGCAATATAATAACAACAATCTATACATGTTTTTTCCAATCTGATCTTTTGATGTTCTGAATATTTTAATATTAATGATAACAGCTTCCATAGCCGAATTATTTATAATAGTTGAGCTGAATAGTTCGTAGGCTAACATATATTTTTTTTAAATAAAATTTGATTTCATTATTCAATATAGTTGTCTTCGAGGGTGATACAAAAATTATAACGGTCATAAAATTTTTCGATACCATTTTTTAGTACGATTTTTTCTTTAGACTCAAAATAGGCCACAGTTTCGACGGTTACCTCTTCATTGACGCTTGTTTTCTTTCAACGGGTATTCTTTAGAGGTCAGAGAACAGAAAAAAGTCGTTGTGAGCCAGATCTGGAGAATGCGGTGGATGCAGAAAGAATTGCCTTAGGCTAAACTTTTTCCATTTTATGTACAGAAAGAAAATAATGACGACTTATTATTCGAATCCAAATTCATGCAATTTTGCCATCGTTTTCATTGATATGTGAAACGGTTTATTGTCTTGATAAAACAGCACTTTCTTTTTCTCCAAACGGGCCGTTTTTCTGCGATTTCGTTCTTCAAATGCTCCAATAACGCTATGTTATAAGTCGCTGTTGATGATTTTTCCTCTTCAATCACTTCGAACAGAGCTTTCGCATACCCAAATATTCATGCACGATATGTCCACCACGTTCCTTTGATAATTTTAGAGCCTCAGCTATCTCGACCAACTTCAGGTCATTCAAAATTATTTTGTGGGCTTTCTCGATGTTTTTGTCGGTAATAGTCTCTTTGGGGCGTACAATGCGTGCATCGTCCTTGATGCTCATTTCACGTCATTTAAATTTAGCAAAGCACTTCTCAACGGTTGATTTTCTTGTTGCAAGGTCTGAATAACATTTATTAAGCCAAGCAATGCTTTATTAACACACGAAAATTCCTTTTTATTCAATTTCTTCAAACTAACAAAAGTTGCTTCACTCAAAATGTTCTACCCACAAACTAGTAATCCCACAGCTGTGAAATTTGAACACGTGGCTTTTGAAGGTTAGGGTTAACTAAATATCATATGGATATAATGCTAGTAGCACCATCTGTGTGTTAGTCTACGAACTTTTCAGCCCACATAATAGTTTAAACATTATTCAATATCAATACTTACTTGTGTTTATCCGTAAAGTCTTTGTATTCATCACAGGGTTTGATACTGTCGATACTATTTTCTATTTTCTTCTGGATTTCTCTGAATTTCTCTGATGTCAAGTCCGAATTATTGGCGACATCATTCAAAATTTGTTTCCTAAAATGAGAAGAAACATGCATATTATTAAACAGAAAAGTGAATGATTAAAAAATGTATCGTTAAAGTATGATAAGTGTTATAAGTTGTATTCATTAAAAGAAAAAAAATCACAATAATAGAGATACTCAATACTTGAACAAACATTCGACTAGATATCTATTTGACTAGACCTGCTCTTGCTTTTGTTTTCATGATATCGTACAAATATATTCCATCTATTCAATGAAAAGCGTTAAAGTGGTTCATTTGCAACTCCACTATCAATGAAGAGGAAAGTATGTAGGTCCAAGGTCAGCCTGAAAGTGAGTGTTTCAATTAAACCCCTCACTGCAATCCGCGAGGGTTTATTGTGGCCCACACCTATTCAAACTCGACCTTATAAGTCGCGCTTCTTAACGAAACCGATTACTCAATTATCTTTCAAGCGAGCTGACGAGAGTGGAACACTGTCAAACGCCAAAAACCTGATCCGGTTCACGACGGTGAAGGCACATAGTTTGTGCTCTGCTATCAAGACTTCAAAGTTGACAGATTATGGTACATTTTCCTCGATCTAGTGAGAAACTGATCAGTAGTCAGTCTGCGATTACCTTCGTCAGGTGGATGAACAACACAAATATGTAGTTTGGGACGCATTTCAAACGGCCTTCGAAGATTTCAGAGTACTTACTGTACCCACCAACGAGAAGACTCTCTCCTGATTCTCTCAGGTAACCTGCAGCCATCCAGACCGGAGTTTACAGCTCTGGTATCATATCTGTGGACTATCTTCTGGAATATATTTTACGAAAAGAAATCAGCTGATTTATCGATGATGAGTTTGTCGGATGATCAAGGTGCAAGATACCTATCTTAATGAAAGCAGAAATTTTCCCATATGAAGGCATCTGTGTAAGACAAGTATATTTGAGAATACTTCAATTCAGCCACTCAGGGATTTTTCCCCTCTGGTTTGGGTGAATCATCGTTTGCGCGTAAGCGTTTACTTATCTGCTTTGTTGCTTTCTCCCCTGATGCAGATTCTGCTTCAGCTGCTCCAGACTTTGGTGCAAGGCAGATTCAAAAGATATCCTGATCTTGAGAAAGCGCTAAGTCGGTTCCTGGTTGTACCACATAGTCTACTAGGTTAGTAACGATAGTTGGAGAATTGAGTAGCTCTTGATGTTGATCCGATGCTACAGGAAGGACATTTGAGGTCGTTTAGTCGACGTCCATCTTCTCTGCAGGCTCAGTATCGGATTCTTTGTCCACTTCATTGTCGATAAAGTCCCACAAGTAGCTGAGGAAATAATGTCCATGACGGCAGAGCCCCGCATCACCGTGACAAACATTTTTACGAAGGGAGGGCGCCCAGTATTGATATTGAATGGGACCAGAATCATAAATCTTTTCGGCATGGATACACACACCTTAGGCTGAGGCGGTCATTTAGGAGGACTCACCTGGTATGCTAACGCCCCTTGCTGCAAGACGGTAATTATAGTCAGGTAAGTTTTTTGAAACAGTAATTTTTTAGGACTTCAGGTCGCCACTGTATATTTTTTGATGAGATGCATACGCATTATGGGAATATATTGTAGATAATAATAATAATATGTCTTTATTCATCATATAAAAAAAACAAATGAAATAATATTACAAACAAATGATGAATAGGCGGAGTTCAGCAATGAGAGCTGCTTTCAAACGCAACCTCATTCATATTATTCATATTATTCGTATATAAAAAATCAAGTAACTACAATAAACAAGTTAAGTCGAGAAAAAACACATTATGTGAGAAATTGCACAATTTGTGAAAACATCGTTCAAATATCCACAGGCGGCTTCTCTGGGTGGAGCGCTTCAGAAACGTCTAATTTTTCATGACTCTGAGGCTGGATTTGGCCGATAGCATGGCTTATGTTGGCTTTTAGGACCGCTGTGGTTTGTAGCTCATTGGGCATTCACCTGCGACTCAAGAAAACCCCACAAGAAAAAGTCTAACGGGGTCAAATCGTATGATCTCGGTGGCCAGTTCACATCACCTCCTCGTGAGATGACCGTGTCCTTGAATCGTTCGTGCAGAATATTCAATGTGGTATGAGCTGTAGCGTCGTCCTGTTAAAAGTTAGTAATCATAGACCTATAGCGCTCGCCGTTGACAGCATCCTTGGTTGTTCTCAAAGAAATATGGACCGATGACGCCACCGGCCCAAAATCCACACCAAACATTGACTTTCGTCATGTGGATAACTACCGCCCGAAACTCGACACTTTTCTTTGTTCACGTACCCATTCATCCAAAAACGAGCCTCATCGCTGAAGATAATTTTTTTATGACAATTAGGATCAGTTTCCAACTGCCCATTCAGCAAACACACGTCGCTGTCTATGATCGTTTACCCTCAGTTCCTGGGTCAGTTGAATTTTATGCAGGCCCAAGTCACGACGCAAATTTCGGGAAGTTGTGGGCTGCGAAGGACAGATCACTTGTGAGCGACGTGAAATCGACTGTCTAGAGTTCTCCTGCACACTGTCACAGACAGCGGCGATGTTTTCGGCAAATCTTACGTTTATAGTACAACAATTTTCAATTGAAGGTAACTCATATACAATTGAACTGAGAGCTAACGGCAACAATGTTAAATGTTAGAACTAAATTCTTACCGGGGTAATTTTTATTGTCTATTTATCGCTATTGTGAATAATTGAAAAGTAAGATGATTCCATAAAATTTGCCCCCCGTAACAAGATAGCTTCTGCATATCGATAGGATGTACGAGCGAATAGGTGAACCAGTTCGTTAAATACTTTGAAACATCGGTAAACTGATCCACATTTCGCAGGTCTATTATATTTGCGTCCTTAAAATGCCATAACTAGTTATTCGGTTTCTTCATTATCAAGCGTCCTTATCTGCATAGGCGTAGTGTGCTGTTTCTTGTGAAGATGACTTTGTTTTGTATTTATTAAATATATTTTATTATAATTATTAAATAGACTGTTATTATTAACTTTAAAATAAAAGATAGAGTTGGCCGATACTTGTTTTTCAAAATACATTATTATAGATTTTCATTACATTCACACTTTATTGCGAGATAATTAGTTGACCTAGTCATTAAACTCAGGTATAATGTTCGTTAAACTTAGATATAACTGTCATCAATTAGTTCCTAGAATATTATTATTTTCTAGGTAGAAAGTAATATTTCAAAAAGTATATATATACTTGCGTTGACACGGTCGCGGCTTCCCATCTAGCCGAAAGTTCCAAGTCTGCTGGAACTGCAGCATTGTCTGGCGAGAAATTGAAAAGGAAAAAATACCAAAATCTTGGAAACAACTATCTGTTTCATCCAGTAGCGGTTGNAATTCAGTTTGTTAGTGAACACGCTTGAAAAAGCTACTGTGCAGCGAAACACGTGTTGCGGATTTGTTAATCTGTTCTAGTGAAAATCTCACAATGAAGTGTTTTTCAAAATACATCAACTTTAAAATAGTTTTTGAGGGAAGTAAACAACTGACAAATATCTGAATAATATGATTGAATTTTATTATTTTTATAGTATTAAGATGGATGCCGCAGCAGGTCCAAGTAATGTACAAAGAAAGCGGAAGTTTATGTCGTTAGAAGAAAAACAGATTGTCTGTAGAGTGTACGAAAATTTAAAAAATACTCTCCGTACAGTGGAAGCTGTAGCCCAGTGTTCATTTTTAACGGGAATATCCGTGTCGACAATTGAACGCATTGTACGTGAAAAAAAGGTGACTGGCATTGTGCCAGCTCCAAAAGTACATTGTCGTGGTAGAAAAAGTTGAATTGAACGAATACCAGAAAAATTTGGTACGCTATACCATTCATTCTTTCCTTTTTGAGAATAAAGCGCCAACCCTCGAATCCATTAGGACAAAGGTAATGGATAATGATCTCATTCCAAAAATGATCTCAAAGAGAAGATAAGGAAAATAATAAAAGAAGATTTAAAATTTATATATGCCAAACGATCCCGTAAATCTGTGTTAATAGAAAGAGAAGATATACTCTCATGGCGACGTAGATATCTTCGCTCTATTAGAGAAATGCGTTCTGCTTACAAAAAGATTTATTATCTGAACGAAACGTGGGTGAATGCTGGTCACACAGTATCTGAGATCTGGCAAGATACTACTGTAACTAGTTATCGTCAAGCATTTGTGGACGGTTTATCAAGAGGGTTACGCGGACCAACGGGTAAAGGGCAACGACTAATTGTCACCAATATACGTAGCGAGAGTGGCTTTTTAGACGATAGTGCAATAATTTTTTTATCAAAAAAAAACGGGGGATTATCACGAAGACATGGACGCCCAACGCTTTGAAAGATGGTTTGAATCCCTTCTTTTACGAGTCGAGCCACATTCGGTAATTCGGTAATAGTAATGGATAACGCTTCTTATCACAGCCGATTAGTAGAACAGCTGCCAACTATGACCACCAGAAAAGCAGACATGCAGAGTTGGTAAGAACAAGAAGGAATTCCATTTTCCGAGGACATGGTTGAGCGCGAGCTTATGAGTGTCATTAAACAGCATCGTGACAGATATCGCCAGCATGTGGTGGATACAATAGCTCGTGCTGAAGGCATCACCATTTTGAAACGTCTTCCTTACCATTGCGACTTGAACCCGATAGAATTAATCTGGGCTCAAATTAAGGGTTACGTAGCTCGTGAAAACGTGACATATAAAATTTCTGATGTCCAACGTTTATTAGAACTCGCAATGGAACGGATACGGAAAGAAGATTGGGCTAATGCTGTAGCCCATGTGATCAAGGAACAAGAGAAAATGTGGAGATTGGACGGGATGGTAGAGTTTTTGACCAAATAATAATAGATTTAAGTGTGACTGGGGATTCCTCTTCGGACGAGTCAATGGATTCTGAAACTTCATAAGCATAACATAGGTAATTATTTCTTTGCTTTGTAGTTATCTTGTAGTTATCTGTATAAAAGGAGCATAATAATTATTTTGTTAATTTTTTCTGTTTTTTTGAAGTACTGTATTAGGTATAATAAGAAAATGTAATCAGTTCTACCATTGACACCAGGTAGCGCCACCTACTATAACAATTTTTACGTAATTACCTATGTGTTTAAATAAATAAAAATATTATTTTGGTACGCCTCTGCAAAGTTGGTAAGAGGATTATCCGTTGGTCACTTCAAGTGCGACGTTGCTAATGAATCACCTTCAATTGAAAATTGTTATAGTATAGTCGACTTACGGGTGTTGGTCGATCGTTTTCTGAACCAATGAACTCAAATTTATCCACCACATTGCGAATAGTCTTCTCAGCAGGACGATTATGGCGACCGTGAAAGGGCGAAGCACGCGGAATACGTTGCCCGAACAGAACACCCATTTTGATGAAATAATTTCATTATTCCCATGTGCTGTTGAATTCTATATCTGTCTATGGTGGTTTGGCAAAACAGACTGAATAAATGACAACAGATTTGACAGATGTAGCTTCATCAAGATGGTCGTTGTCAATTGTCAAAGTTCGGACGTTTCTGTTGGAAGACCCTATAGAACCAAAATCAACCTTTCAGATGTTTCAAGATTCTTGTTTTTATTATGGTTCTCCGTGATAGATATGTTAGATATGTATTCCATTTGAAACATTTTTACAATAATTTCAAATAGAAAATTTTATAAACTTTGGGCAGAATTTCAAATTTGATAGTGCAACGAATACAAACAATTATCATATGTTGTTACTTAATAGATCAAGATGTATATAGATTCTTTGATTCTAGACTCAGGTTCCGTTTCTAAACATCCCAACCCAAATACCTCAACGAACATTGAAATATTCTCTAACAAACATATCTTAATTCCTATAAAAATTTTCATGAGTCTCTTAATTGCTGATTTTGCCAAAGTTTGATCTAATAGGTACATGACTATGATGACTCACCAGGTGGAGATATACGCTTCTTGTAAAGACTGTTGATGTTCCAGCAATCCTGGAAGTAGTACAGTCCTGAAATCTTTTTCAAATTCGACAGCTTCGCAAAGTAGCAATACGTATTCGTTATGCGTGAGATGCAGTTTCCTGCAAGCTTTTTGGTATTTGTCTCTAACGTCGTCAAGCTTCCTTCCTCCTCGACCAGCTGGAAAAAATAAAATAGGTGAGCATTTGAAACTGATATGATTTTCATTGAATTACGAAATATCATACAATACCGTTATGAACTATCCGCTCTCTATAAATAAGTCTATGTAAGAGAATAATAAAAAAAAATATATTTTTTTAAATGGTAGGCGCGTTTCGCTAACACCGTAGCTTCATCATTACTATACTGATGAAGCTACGGTGTTAGCAAAACGCGCCTAGATTAAAAAAAATATTAAAAAAACTGTAAAAACTGTTTAATTATTATCATGGATAATTTTAATGATTTTCATCAAGTAACGGCTCATTTCATGCATACTTTGAATGAATAAGTGGTATGCTTATTCAAATTCAACAGTTTCATTGGTGTTGGTTGGTGGTTCAAAGCCTAGGCTGAACGATCGATTTTCACTTGCTATCGTCCAACCCATACTAGGAATCACACGTTAAAAGGACGTTAGTCCTTAGCTCGCACAAGTTTCGACTTATGAGGGTTGTCGTTGGTAGGGGTGTGACAGCTGGTTAACGGAAAAACAGATTTTTAAACAGAATACAAAATTTCAACTGAACACAATACCTCAATCATACTTTGAGAATATTCCATTTACTTCAATGCCGCTTTCTTTGCTTTCGAACTAGTACGCGTTTTAATTAAAATTGTTTTCTGTTGGTCATTGCTTTCGTAAACGGTAAGATACAGAAGTAAAAATTAAAAATTATTATTTAAGAAAAAATTGGTATTATCCTCCAACTGTAAATAAGTTTTTCTTTCCTACTCAAAACTCATCTGAAGTATCTGAGATAAAAGTTGTACATTTTAGAAACCAATAATGAAAGTTTAGACAAGCTGTTATAGTCTATTTCAAAAGAGTGTAGAGTAATAAAATCTCATTAAGTATTCAAAAGCGCTACAGGGTGATCCGTCAATAAATTCTGTCACTTCCCTAGTCCGCATTGCAAAATTATGTCGTTTCATAAAGAGCAGGTAGGTATCACCCTGTTTTAAGGGATTTGTCCATTGTTATCGACGGATAAATACTGAGCCAGAGGCGCGCTAGTGGGATAATTGCCAAAAGAATATGCATTCATAAAAATTATATTAAAGGAAATAAAAATTTAATACAGCAGAACAGTGTTATTAAAAAAATATAAAATGTAACAATAAAATATATACGAACCGAAATCGGGAAATACTCACAAACACACACGAACGAACTTTACGTATTGAAACACTTGTGGGGACTTTAAATCAATTTATTCACAAAAACGACAAGAACTTTACTGGATACGTTATTACAATTTGACACTTGAACAATACTAAAACTGTGAACTTCCCTTAACGTTTAACAACAC